CCAAAAACGATCGTTTCTTCGCGCGTCCTCGATCGTGCGACGGTATAGTTTTTAACGAGTGTCGTCGGTGACGTCGTGTCGTCGTCGTCGTCCACAACACTCGGCCGCACAGCGCACCGCCACTACCGGTCACCCTACGCCGACCCGGCGGCGGCGGCACCTCCGTCGTCGCTGCTGCCGCCGACACCGAACGAACGCGCCGACGATCACGTATCCGGCCACCAGCCCGAACAGGCCCAGGTTGCTGAACAGGTGCGCGAAGAACTGGAGCCCGCCGGAACCGCGGTTCCGCGGCGTATTGGACGGCCGGTGTCGGCGGCAGCAGCGACGACGGAGATGCCGCCGCCGCCGGAAGCGTGCGCCGGCAGGGTATCGGTGGCGGTGGCGCTGTGCGCGAGTGTTGTGGACGACGACGACGACGACGTCACCGAGACATCTTCGAAAACATACCGTCGCACGATCGAGGACGCGCGAAAGAAGAGAAACGATCGTTTTATTTCCGGAAAACGAACAAAACACGACGTAAAATTCGGAAAACGAGTCGAAACGTCGCAGACGTGCGCTCGCGGGAAACGGACGACGACGAGACCACGCGCGCACCACACACCTCACCGGCGACACGGCCACGAGACTACTGAAAACGGAATTTCGACGCACGACTGCGTGTGCTGTGCGCGCGGCGTTTGTAGGTCGCAGTTCGACGCGCGCGACAAGTCGTTCCTCGCCGGGCGCAGCGCACCCCGTGTTCCGGTTTCTGGAGGCCGGCAACGAGCGGCAACAGCGCGACCGCATCGGCCGGCTCAAGAACGACTGTCTGGGCGAGCTCTGGAACATCACAGGTACGTGAAAGGCTCTAGCCCCGAAGTCGCCACGGACGTCCGAGACGATAGGAGGCGTTTCGGTTTGAAATCTCTTGCGCGTTTGCGTGGATAGGTCAGGGCGCGTTCGGTGTTGCGCGCACCGGAAACGGCTGTATCATAAAACGTCTGTAGGCGGTGTTGACGGCTGCGACTGTATAGGACTGCGAAAAAACAAACAAAACCGTCCGGCCGACAAATCGTAAAACGCGGCGCGTCGATAGATATATTATTGTATCTGGCGGTTGATTTGCGGGCGGCCGACGACGACGGCGATATGCGCGTACTCGACTATTGCCCGATTCGTGGAATCATCGTACGTAAACGACTCTCGTGATAATGTTATTACCACGAACGAGCACTGCAAAAAATACGTCTTGCGGAAAACGGTTATTGATGCGGTATAGAGCGAGAGATTATTGTTGTTTTTATTGTCGTGAATTTTGGCGAACACGATGCCCCGCGCATACGCGTAAATGAGAAAAAAACACACACACACATAGCTTACGACAAATTACCAACATTTTCCGAATTCTCGCGGCTGCCCTAATTTATTACGCCCGGCCCGCACGTATGACCCGATGGTGATATTGTGTTTATATGCCTGTGTGCATGCGTGTTATCTATTGAAAATTTTACCACTTACCGTCAAAGCAGGCGACGGTAGAGGAAAACGTAAAAGTTCATAAAAATCGCATAGCGATGGATACGGGACTTATTACCTACCTGATTGTCAGTAAAAAAAAAGTTTTAAATAACTTTTGCGGTTTTACTGAAAACATTTTTTATACGACGTATTGTGTATATGTTATAGTAAAAGACGTTAAATTTAAATTAAAGTTATTCACGTTAATAGAATGTAATAATAAATATTTTGCTAGGCTTACAACGTTAATTACTAAGGGTTAACGTTAATTTAAAACGATATCAAATGATAATGTTAATTGTATTAAAATTATTTATTTTCATATGATAATGAACTAAAGTATTTTGAATTGCATAATTTCCAAATTATTACTCGACAGATGCATTTTATCGTTTACATAATTATTATTGTCTTACGTAGACGTCATTTAGAGCTTTGAGTGTCTATAAGGCTATTTACATCCTACTCCTTCTCAAAGTGTTGTCTTTTTTTCTCCGGATGATTTAAGTAGAGTTTTGAGATCAAATAAAATATTTTTATATGGTACAACTTAAGATCTTGTTTAATTGTGTTTAAGAAAATCATTTTCGGCACTTTATTCAATTGTAAACATATTAATACCTATACAATTTAATTTTGTATTTTATTTTATTTGCATAATTTATAAAATTTGTTGTCAAAATTAACAATAACTGCTAATAAATTGAGTAGGGGTCTGTGGGCTCTGTCAACATAAGGTATAGAAATAAAAACAGTTGTTCCGACTCCTAACTCTTGATATGTTTTTTTATTTGACTGTGTCATTATCCTTTCGGCTTGCTTTTTTCAAAAATATAAATAATTACTTCTTTCATTTGCAATATTTTATTAGTGCTTGTTAACTAAAATAAATTTTAATATTTAAAATAATTATAAAATGTCAGAAATACAAGGGTTGGGTGTAGTATAAATTATAATTATTATTTATTACTCATATTATTATATAGCCAATTTTACTATATAGTATATAGTTCAACTATAGTTATATTACATTTTTTAATCGTTTTTAAAATAATTAGTTTTTTTTTTTTTTTAACGAGCAATTAAGCGTTTTATTTTGAACATTTTAGAATTATTTTTAAATCAATATCGATCCATCCAATTTTTAATATTTGTATGTCACTGTTATGTTCACAAGATAAATTTTAAAATTAAGAATAAAATTACCAAATCAAGAAATTATTCGTCTCCGAATTAATTATCCTAATTAATAATAATAATTGTTCTCGGGCTATAGCATTATTTTTTAATATCTTTTTCAATACTTAAATTACAAATAACATTTATTGGAATATCAATTAATGGTAATTCAACTCTTGCTTTGCACCCAAATATTACTTTGTAAGGAGACCTTCCAATGCTTTTAAGTTTTAACTATTTAATATAATAAATGAAAAATGATTAAACAATATTAAATATTACAAAATAATATTAATATCTACCTGAATGCAATGAACGTTTTTTTGAGATCATAAAAAATGACCGATTTTCGCATTTATTTTGTGTCATCCACGCTAGCATGTTTTCAACGTTTTCGGTTAGCTTTCTCTACGGACCCTTAATTTTGTATGTGTCTAGTTTTTCCGTACACAATTTTTATATTTAGTTACATAGAATGAAATTCATTAATTATTGAATCAAAAAATTCTCGGCCATTGTTCAAAAGTAGAATGGCCGGTACTTCGAAGGTCGTATAAAGATCCAGAAAATGTTGTGCGATTTCTTCCACACGTTTGTTCAATAAAGCTCTGAGTAACACGAATTCTATAAGATGGTCTTGATAATTTAAAATGAAGTGGAACCCATTAATATTTTGTGATTGCATATCAATTAAATTGATTTGAGATTTTGAACTAAAAGTAAAATGTAAAATAAGTTTCAAAACTAAGCATCATCTAGGATTGGATCACTTTTTTAGCAATGTGTGCATATATTTAAATATGGCATAATAGTTTTGTTCGTGATAAGGTAATATTTTAACTTAATTCAAAATTCATTCTAAATCTTTAACCAACGATCAACAATAGAATGAGTTTGATGCAAATTATTGAACAAATCGTCAATTATAACGTAATAGAGTATAGTATCGTTAGTTACAGGTTTAATAAGACTCTCTTTTATTTTAAATTGTTAAAATATTTACGTTCCATTTGACAATCCCTTTATAGATTATTCTCCCTGGCATTTTCAACACGAAGTTTATTATTTTTAATTATTAAATACGAATATTGTACTCATCAATGATTAGGAATGAGTTATTATCGTTAAGTTTTTTATTATTTTTATCAGATAAAATATTATTAAATTTGTTATCAATTTTAAATTTATTTGTATTAAATTGTATTAATAATATAATTTAAAAGAAATGGATACAACATTTTACGATTATTTTAACACATTAAGTACATAATTTTCCTTAATATGCGGTTACTTATATAATATTAATATGATTAAAAATATCACTTATTAATGATATATAAAAATTCATATAATTTTAATTATGTCTGTTACCATTATATTTTTGTATAATTCGAAATCTTTTTAATCTGATATTTATATTTATTTTTTAGTTTTGTCATGATATATTGTGGTAATTATTTACTATTTTACCATCAATAATGACTATGGATTTTCTATAACCGTTGTATTCTATTAAACTTTATTAATTATTAATTTCTTGTAATCGATTCGTTAATGTTTTAATAACTGTACGTTAGTTACGATTAAGGTATTATGGTTCTCTTAACACTGACAAATCTATGCATCAAGATTATTTTTAAATTTCTATCTCTGCAGCATACTAACACAATAATTTACTAAATATTCACTATACAAAAACTAAGCTGTATTACATAAGCGCCAAAGGTACAAAAATTAGATATCATTTTCGCCAAAATATGTAAGATATAAGCGTCAATCTAATATTATATACCTGTTATACCCAACTTATGACATAAGTGCCAAAGGTATAGTTTGATGTTTCAATTTTATAAAAAATTATCAATAATATACATACAAATAAATATAATTTAAATTAATTAGTTGACTTTTTAATCAATTCTTTTTTTACATATTCCATATGATTTATTTCACCATCCTGGTAATTTCTTCTGTTGTACAATTATTTCTTTTGGTACACCTCAATGACATATTAGCACTGGCCATTTCTCGTAAAAATCTATATTTTTTATCTTCAAATAAAGTACATGCAATATGTACCTTAATTTGTAATAGTTTTTTATAAAATTCATTTTAACGAATACTAACAAAATATATAGTAACAATTAATTGTATAACATAAAATTGCTTACACAATGTCTGTGACAATCTATCGTAATCATATAATAAATTTGTCGATTAAGATTAAACGTTTGGAGTTTTTGAACGATATACTTAGTTTTAAAATTAAATAATTATTAAACTATCTAGGATTTTGGTGCATTTGTACGATACAATTTTGACGCTTTTGTAAGATTTTTTTTTTTTGTTCTTATCTCATTTTGGCGCATATATTTTCCACTACAAAATTACTAGAATTAGGTACATTATTTACTTTATTACATCCTATTATACCTATGTCTACTTATGCACTAATATCAAAAAAATAATTATATTCTCATCTCTAAACATTAATTGCAATATATTTTAATAATAACTGGCATAATCTACTAAAACTTACATTTAACAATAATAATTATATATATTTTTAAACTGTTAAGAAAATACAAATATTGTATAAATGTATGTTAAGCCAAAATATTAACTTGATATTTAAATACTAATTGTTGTTTTATTCAATTAACCATAATTATTATTTATAATAGTATCCATAATTAAGCTTGGTACATGATTAACAACTTGGACTATTTATAAACAGTGAAATAAATATTGAATTCGGAAACTTGTTTATAGCTTTAACAGATACACGGAAATTCCACTGGGATGAGTTTAGACGTTGAACAATCGGATTTACGATTAAATATGCCTATGGCCTAAGTGTTAAAAAATATGTTAGGTTAAAAAATCTCACGGTAGCAATAAAATCATACATTTTCCTGCATTTTAAGAAAATATACGTCGATACTCGATAGTATAAATCATACACTTTTAAATCACATAATTTTTATTTCATTAGTACGTGTGTAAAACAATAAAGTAAATTTATATTCAACGACATCCATAATAACAACAAAAATTATAAATGTGCTAATAATTTGAAATTCCGTATAGGATGTATTTTCACATAAAATAAATTAAAGTGATATTGAAAGTAAAATAAGTCCATAATAGTTGTATT